CCCACCAACCTTAGAGTAGTTATAAATATTGTTTATTCACATGAAAGTGCCTGGCAGATCAGGGTAGCTGATAGAATAGTTGTGTCGATTGTATTGCACTTATAAAGTTTATACAGCTCAAGGGGCAAGGGAAGGCAGGATGCGAGGATGGGGGCTGGCCCCCAGGATGGAAGCTGGGGTGAGAGGAGCAGAGGGAGTCCTAAGGCCAAGCTGTCACACGTGGTTGTAGAAGGGCAGTGGGGAATGGAGCAGCTTGTTTCCAGCCAGAGCTCCCTCAGCCTGCCTCTCTCAGGGCGCCATGTCTGGGCAGCGGGGTGGTGTGAGGCAACCTGAAGGCCAGGCAAGTGGACAGGGAGCAGCTGCCACTGCCGAAACCCCCTTCCCCCACCCCCAGCTCAGCTGAGTGCAGACCAGGAGAGTTTGAGAAGGTAAACATGCACCATGCCCCCGGCTACCCCTGGGGAGCACTGACCTGGCCCCATTTGTGCATCACCCTACTTGGGCAACTGGCCGGTGCCTCCTGCACAGGGGAGGACGGAGGGCACTACAGGCCGGATAGGGCCCACAGGCCGTATTTTGCCCACCCCGATTTAACCACATAGAGGAGTGAACCCTTCAGACAATGATTGTCTCTATCCCTTGAAGAATATAAAAGCTTCAAAGTGTTTAAAGTGGAGCTGCTGCACAAAGCTGCAGCTAAGCAGGGTGATGCACTTTGCAGAAGCTAGAGGTGCACTGATACATCCATCTGATAATTTGGCCAATAAATGCCTGTACTGTATGCAGCTGCAGTGCAGTATGAAGCAGAGCCAGCAGTGTGGAGAGGGAAAGGGCTGCCTCCAGCTGGTAAGTTGGAAGGGGAGGGGGAGGGAAGGAGTGTGGGGAGCAGATCAATGGCCCCCTGTGGCAAGGGAGGGGGCAGGGGCAGGTGCTGCCCAGGCGGGGTGGGGGTGCGGGACAGAGGCGCGGCTCCTGCCACTGCCTGCACCCTGGGAAGGCATGGGGGGGGCATACCCCTGGATCTGTGCATCGCACAATAGGCCACAGCTGGGGCTGCATTAGGCTCTTCTTGCTGGGGGCTGGGCTCAGAGTGGGCTCCAGTGGCGCTGGGAGGAGGCTGCAGCCACCCCAAATTTAACCACAGTTCCACTCCCCGTCCTGTGCTGCCATGCAACAAGGCCAGAGCTTTTCCTGGTGCTTCCTGTGCCCTCCCAGGGTGCATGCAGTGGCAGGAGCTGGCCCCCCCCCACAAGCTACGCCTCTGCCCCCCCCCCCCGCTCTGCCTGGGCAGTGCCTGCCCCTGCCTCTGCTCCCTTCTTCACCACAGGGGCCATTGATCTGCCCTCCCACACCCCTTTAGTCCCCTCTCCTCTTCCACCACAAGAAACTTACCAGCTGGAGGCAACTGTTTTGAAAATTGGATCAGTATTGGCTAATATGCCTCCTTAAATATCGCCTATTGGTATCAGCCCGCAAAACCTTTATCGGTGCACCCCTAGCAGAAGCTCCAGTCTTTAAGAAGCAGTTTGTTGCAAAGGCTGCCAGCCAAAAAGCATGCTTGGAAAAGAGTCCAGGTCACTGCCTGGCCTGCCATTCCTCTCAGCTACTTGGGTAGTGACTCACCACACCACGGCTCACCAGGGAATAGGAAATGAAACTCTCCAGTGTTTGCTGCAGGAACCTGCCCATTAACTGTTCAGAGGTTTGTAATGCACTTCTAAGAAACCCTAAAGGCAAATTACCCTTGTGAAACACGTTTCAGGAGCCTAGAAGGGAAATCTGAACGGAACATGTGATGATTCTGCTTAGTTGGTTTGGCTTCAGATTTCTCTCGCTCACTGGTTCAGATGCCTTCTGTGTGAGGGGCTTCGTCAAACCACCACACGATTGTGCAGCCTCAGCCTCAAACTCCATGCTTTGCTGTCTATTACATCTTCTCTACAATGCTCATCTTATTGGGAAGCTGGCATTCTCTGGAAAAATGAGACCTGCCTCTTCATACGTAAGGCTGCATTTTACTGTGTGCGTCCTACCTGGCAGGTTCTTTAGTCCTGGGGGACTTTTCAACGTGGGGATTGCAACCAGAAAGTGGCTTACAAGAAAGGGTCGTGAACAAACTTTAAAAATGAATTCTCCTTTAAAGAAGAAAAACGCAGGAAATGGTGGCTTTTCCCTTGCAAGCTGGCAGAGCTCCAGCCTGCCAGGGGCTGCTTGGGACTCCTGGCACCCCACACGGAGGGGCTGGGGCCTTGGGCTGAGGGGCAGCAGGCTGGCAGTGAGGAGCAGCGGGTCGGGACTGGCCACTGATGTTTACAAATGGATCCTGGTACAAAAAAGGTTGAGAACCGCTGCTTTAGTCAAGGACTGAAATAAATTGCATTTATGTAGCGCGCTTTCATTTGGTTGCAAATCCGACCCCCCTTGTAGCATATCAACCCAACAAGAACGTTTTCCCCAAATAAGTGCCTTTTGTAAGATGCTTTCTCTTAGTTATTGTAAAGCAAGCGGATAAGCAATGGTATGCAAGCAGATAAGCAATGGTATGACATACAACCGTGCAACCTGTACGGGTGGTACCACAGGGTCTTATGGAGAATTCCACACTCAGCATACGTGATAAACAAGGGAAGCACATGCACGTCAGGAAATTCCAGATGCCCTGGTGTAAGGTATATAAACTCTGTGAAAGCTGTCTTAGGGGCCAGCCCTGATTTGAGCCTCCAGATTCCAGGTCGGTCTTGCTTGCAAGCAATAAAGCTTTTGTTCCGCAGTCCTGTGTGTGTGACTCTCTTCCGGGGTCTGATTGAATCATTGCCTCCAGGAGCACGAACTGCCCTTTGTGCAACATTGGCAGGTATCACTCCACGTGCCACACGTTTAACAGAAGAAGAGACATCGCCCCAAGCCGGCCAGCAGCTGTCAGTGCTATCTCCCTTAGGCGGGAGTTTGCCCGCGGCGGCCCTCCCCTGCAGGCGGAACAATCCCGCAGCGGTGCCGCGCTGCAGCCGGACGGATTTACCTGAGGCACCGGGGGCGGTTCCGGTTCCGGTCCCAGTCCCGGTCAGTTGCTGTGGTGCGTGGAGGCGTCGTCCTTACAGGTCAGCGCCGCGCGAGGGCAGCCGCGCCTCCCCCTCGCCCCTACCCCACGCGTGGTCGCGGGGCTCCACGGGGAAGGGCCCAGCCCCCTCCCCTTTCCCGCAGTGAGCTGCCTCCCGGCCCGAAATGGTTAAGCCACCGTATTTTCTAGTGCACGCGCCCGCTGCCCCTTAACATTGGGCTGCCGGTACTAAGGGAAGCTGTATTTTCTGCCCAGCCTAGAAGCCCCCCGGGTTGATCCCAGCTCCATAGTGGGGCAGCTGTGGTATTGCTGTTCAGGCAGCTGAGGTAGTTGGTTGACTTGAATGGCCCATTGGTCTTTGTGGGTGTTAGCAGCAGTCTCCCCTTTGGAAGGGCTCTGATGTTCTTAGGGTGTTTTTGCTGCCTGCTCTGGGTCTCACTTCTTATTTCACAGGCTTGGAAACTCTTTAGTTCGTTTTTAAAACCACAAATCCATCCATGGAGACCTCTTGCCAGCAGCAGCTAGGGTTTCAACTTTAGTTAAGTAGGAAAAGGAGGATAAGTCAGCTGAAAATTAGGCTCTCTCCCTGCTCTATGAAGCCATAACTGGTTATTTTTCCTCCTTCTGCCTTTCAAAAGCACAGTGTTCAGTGTATTTCAGTGCATGCACGTGAGAAAATATGGTAAACCAAGCACTGTTACTTCAGTTACTAATATAGGTAAATAATATGCTGCATTTATATTCTTGTTTACAGTGGCTAGTTCACATAGAAATAATTCACAATCAATAAAGCTGCTCTGAAGTACCTATTTTTGACAAAATTAAGTCAGCACCATAAGTTGCATGTTCTGTAGTGTTAAGAGCACGGACATACTAAATTAGTCCCACTGTTCTTGTGGTACGTAATTAAACACAGTTTGTTAATGTTTTCGCTTTTAAATGTGTGACTCTTGCACTTAGCAGTTTTGTAACCAAGAACATTTGGGCAACATAGAAAGACATGGATGATGAACCTGAAAGAACCAAACGCTGGGAAGGAGGTTATGAACGAACATGGTAAGCTTTGTTTTATCAGTTTTTACTTTCTTTTAAGAGTCAAAAAGTTAATTTACATGTACCAACAAATTGCTTTTTTTTTCTGCAGGGAGATTCTCAAGGAAGATGAGTCTGGATCACTGAAAGCAACTATAGAGGATATACTCTTTAAGGCCAAGAGAAAAAAGTAAGCTGTCAGTTCAGAAGTACTGTGAACATATTAAAAATGTTCTTGATGTGACTCTTTCGAAGTCAAAGGAATTATAACAGGAGAAAAATTGTCCCCTTCACTAGATTAAGCCAGGGGTTCCCAACCTTTTTATGCTGCGGACTAGCAAACCATGGACCAACTGTGACCGACATCCTTTTTTTTTTTTATACTCAGTATAAAAAAGGGTTGGTTGCTGGTCACTCCTGGACTTTTGGTCCCTCAGCCAACCCTCCTGCGAACCAGCTGGGGATTGTGAACCCCTGAATTAAGCAGCAGTATATATGCATTATTTATAAGCGTGTATACTTCATATTTTTAATACCTTCATGGACTAAATTTGGTATTTCCATTTCCTACTTGTGCTAGAAAAAGGTGGGGGGGTTTTCTCAGCCTACACTTCTTCTAGGACTAAACAGTTTTATGTTGCATAGGTCTAACTTCTGGTAGTCCATCAGAATACCACTTTCTCCCAAGTTGTATGTATTGTAGTTGAGGTGTTTGAAGTGGAACACATAACTTTAATTAATCCACTGATACAGTAACTGTGTTAGTGTAGAGCAGTGCAGCTAGACCACTGAACACACATTATATCTCTATATGTTCTTTCAGAAAGTGGTCTTATGCAAGTTATATTTGTTTTGAAATGGGTAGGTATTTATCTAATCTTGTTCTGTTTTCATCAGATGACTTCTGTTTTACATTCTTAATTTAAAAACATTCTAGGTAAAGGCTAGTTGTTATTCACAGATTGATATTATAGGAGAATATTTGGGCCATAAATTAAATATATATAATTTTGAAAAATCTTGAAAATATCTTTTAAGCCTTCCCTCCTCCCTAAAAAAAAACATTTTGCAGCATTTCTTTTTTTAACTTGAAACATCTTCTCCCCCACACCCACATGCACACCATCTCTTTAAAACCATCTACTGCCATAGAAGTTAATGACAATTCTGCACATGGTGGAAGTGTAGGATTGGCTGTAGTTATTGGTATTGTTCTAGATTTCCCTGTTAAAAACTTATACCTCACTTCAGTTGTTCTGTTTTTTAACAGACTCTTCGAACATCATGGCCAAGTCAGACTTGGAATGGTATGTTACCATCTTCCCTTTGACTCCTAGAGCTAATGTTATGTTTGAGATAAATTGTGCTATAGTGATGTGAGGGGTGGTTAGCCATGTTAATCTGAAGTTAGGCAGAATGCAGGGTAGATTTGTACTTTATGTTCAACCTTTCAGCCCTATGCCGGATCCTGCAGGTTGGCATGGGCCTAATCCAGCATGTGGTTGGCATGTAGTGTTGGTTAATAGGTGCAATTTGGCATGCCAGCCCAGCCCTGCAGACTGACTCCAGTCATAGCCTGACCAGCCATGCTGGGACCAGCTGTGGAGTGACACAGCACCCTGGCACATGGGGCTCCCCCTGGGGCTTCCCAGTGTTCCCCCCATGGGTCCAGAAATTTGGTGGCAAATGGGTGGTGACAGTGGTAATTGCACTGGCCCTGGCAACCATAGCAATTAATCCTGCCGCTGTTTGTGTGGTCAAATACGGAGGAGGAAGCAGGGGATGGAGCACCACCTCCCAAGAGCAAGGGCGGGGTAGGGCAGGGAAGCTCACTGGGCTGGGGTGAGGGCAGCGGTACCCCTGTGCGGAGCAGGGAAGCTTACTGGGCTGGTGTGTGGTGGCGGTGGCCACTGTGTACAAGCTTCCCTGCCCCACAGAGGGATGCTGCTGCCCTTGCCCTGCCCTGGCCCTGCTCCTGGGAGGCAGAGGCGCTCCGCCCCACTCACCCACACATACCCCCTAGGACTGGTATGCATACCTCCGTTTGACAACCCCTGGTCTAAGTAACAAAATCATTTGGCTTTTGTGAGTTGGAGTGAGAGTGTTATATAAGAGATACTGATAGTGTCAAAGATATGGAAGACCTGGGTTCTTTTTCCTTTGTCAGAACCTGCCTTAATAAAATCACAAAGCCTGTTGATTCTGCATTTTAGTGATACATAAAATAACCAGAACTATATTTATTATATTCACATAAGTAAGCATTTCATTGGTGAAATGTTGACTTCCTCAGTTAAAAGCATTATGTAAATATGATGTAATAATCTTTTGAGACTGCTGAAAGCATTTTGTGTTGGTCAGAAAAAGGTCTTTGTCCACATTCTGAGTAGAAGGTAGTGAGGTAGTTAACCTCTCTAATCATCACCAACTAAAGAGTCATTTGGGAGTCTTGAGTTCTTTTGATATTCTGAATTTTACCTGTCTGATAGTGAAGGGTATGATTTTCTTCTGTTCATTTAAATGACATAGACTGCATTTATTTGCAGATTTTTATTGTTTTACATGGCTACAAGTTGATTTATTTCAGACTAAGAACTTCTTGAAGAATTAATCTTTTCTGATGCTGTTGCAGATGCGTCATCTTTATGTGGTGGTTGATGGGTCAAGAACTATGGAGGACCAAGATTTAAAACCTAACAGGCTTACTTGTACCTTAAAGGTATTTGTTTTATTCAAGTTCATTAACTTACTCTTGTTATGATACATACAGATGGGGCAACTACTTTTTACTACATTTGTATAACTAGAGAGGACTGAATTTGATGGAAATTATAGTCTATAACTAGGGAGGAGTGAATGTGATGGAGATTAAGCAGTATTAAGCACTGAAATTCTGTTTTTAAATGTGTGTACATATCTGGCCTTTTAAATTTCTCATATAGATTCATAGATGTTAGGGGCTGGGAGGGACCTCATGAGATCATCAGTTCCACCCCCACCCCCCCCACGCTTGGGCCGGAAAAACTGCTGGGGTCAGATGACTCCAGCAAGGTGAGCGTCCAAATGTTTTTTTGAAGATTTCCAGACTGGTGATTGTACTACCTCTTAGGGAAGTCTGTTCCAAACCCTGGAACAGCCTCTGCTCGTATGGCCTGCTCCCCAGACATCTAATTATACGTATAGCCCTCCTTTGGACTCTTGAGCTTCTCCACATCCTTCTTGAAGTGCAGTGCTCAGAAGTCGACACAGTACTCCAGTTGTGGCCTCACCAAAGCTGAGTAGAGCAGGAGGATATCTTTAGACTTGCTTGAAATTCATCAGTAGATGCATGCCAGTGTCTTATTCACTTTGCCGGCTACCACATCGCATTGGTGGCTCAAGTTCATTCTGTGGTCTGTCACGACCCCCAGATCACTTTCAGTTGTGGTGCTAGCTAGTGTAGCACTGCCAAGCTTGTAAGTGTGTTGTAGATTATTTCTCCTTAGATGGAGCACTTCATATTTCTCGGTGTTAAACGTCATCAAGTTTTGATCCACCCATTTTGCAAGCCTGTCCGTGTCAGTCTGTATCCCCAGCCTATCCTCCAGTGTGACCAACCTCCCCCATAATTTGGTGTCGTCCGCAAACTTTGTCAGTATGCTTTTAATACCCAAATCCAAATCATTAATGAATATGTTGAAAAGCTCTGGTCTGACTACTGAACTCTGAGGGACGCCACTGGTCACTATGTGCCACGTCGATTCAGTTCCATCTATTAATATGCTCTGGGTCTTGCCTCGGAGCCAGTTTCCTAGCCACCAGACCGTTAGGTTGTTGAGGCTGCAGTCTCCCAATTTTACCATGAGGGCATTGTGGGAGACCAAGTCAAAGGCCTTTTTGAAATCCAAGTATATGTCATCAACCTTATCTCCCTTATCTAGGTGGCGTGTTACCTGATCATAAAAGGAAATAGAGATTGGTCAGGCATTAGCTGCCTGCAGCAAAGCCATGTTGGCTATCTTTTAGAATGCTGCCTTCAGTTAGCCTATCACTAATGGATTCTTTGATAATTTTTTCCAGGGTTTTTCTAGGGATTGAGGTCAAACTGGTTGGCCTGTAATTCCCTGGGTCCTCCTTCCTTCCTTTCTTGAAGATAGGCACAACACTGGCCCTCTTCCAGTCTTCTGGAACCTCTCCCAAGCACCACAAGTTCTCAGATAGCTTTGCCATTGGTCATGTGATGATGTCAGCCAATTCTTTCGGCACTCTCAGGTGTAGTTCATCCGGTCTTGCTGACTTGTAGATATCCAGCCTCTCCAGATGTTCCTTCACAAGTTCTTCGCCAATTATGAGTGGTGATCACCTCACCTTGACCATCTTGTATCCTGTCAGGCAGGGTAACAGGGTAAGATAGAGATGTTTTACTAGATACATAGGACCAGACGTTCATCGGATAAAACAAAAATATTTGGTTCCTCCTTTCCATGTAAAATCTCCTATGTGGTCACATAGATTACATTGAATGTTTGTCAGAGTATAGGGAGAATGTTTTGAACTTAATTTTTTATTTAAATAACTTTTAATGGTGGTGAAGTGTCTTATCAAAATAATTCTAACCTGCTGTATATATTAACTAGAATGTTGGTTAATATTGGTTAGTGAATTTGAGTCATGGAAAACAGAGTTTGTGTGGATGTAACATGCCATGCTCCCTGCTTCAGTCCTTCAAATGGTTACATATTTGTGCTAGATTTTAATCCATGTGAGTAATGTTTTTGACTTCAGTGGACCTACACCTATGCCTAAAGTTAAATGTGTGTGAGAGTGCTTGCTGGATTGGGCAAGCCCATTAGTTGCAGAAAATACCACTTAATGGGCATGTCTACGTAAGACATTTACTGAGCAGTACACTAATTAGCTGCACAGTAAATGTTGCGCCTCTACACACATGTCCCTATTAGGCTAGCAGAAACTAACTAATTTATGCTTCATTGTGGGGCTAGCCAGCAGGCAGGCCCTGCACTGAAGCACCCTCATGCCCCAGCCAGCCCCTCTGCAGTATGTTGAGCTGGGGAGAGTAGACCCGGGCTGCCAGGCTGACTCCCAGGGCCCCCTGGCAGCCAGGGCTACTTTAACCTGGCTCAATGTGCTGTGGTGTGACGCACACGTGCAAACAGCATGCCCAGAGCAATAAACCCTGGGGCAGTAAGCCCCAGAGTTTATTGCTTTGCATTAATATGCAGGTGTAGATATGCCCAGTAACTTTTATCTTTGATATGAATTACTATGTAGAATTTAGTAGTTTTCCTGGTTCACAACTTGTAAGTTGTAAGGATTCCTCACTAGCATATATAAGTCATAGTTCCCATTGTAGGGCCACCTGCAAGATTGCCTAACGTAAAGTTTTGCTGAGGTGCTGGGCAGCTAACATTAATCTGCTAGGCCATATATTGGGAATACCTATACTAATAATACTGTAAGATCTATGTTAAATTTGCTTCAGAAGTAACATGAATGACCAAAGCTACAGTGTACTGAATGGGGAAGTTTAGATGTTTGTTGCACTTTCTAAAAAATAGGAGTATTAGAGTATTCAAGGTACAGAATGCAGTTGTGTGTAGGCTCCTCCCCTCCCTTCCCTGGGTCATACAGGTATTAACAGCTAGAAGATATGAACTATGATTATGCTAAATCTTTATACTTCTAACTTCCTTTTTTTAGTTATTGGAATATTTTGTTGAAGAATACTTTGACCAAAATCCTATCAGTCAGGTAGGTATACCTGTGCCAGAAACTAACTGTTCCAATCACTAATTAAGCAGCAGCCTTGTGGGGGGAAAACTTGTGGAGATTATTTTGAAGTCTGTTTCAATAAGCATTTTCCAGCTGATTTTTTTTAAAAATTAGAATCCTCCTTTTCCTTTTCTCTACTAATCTTGTTACATTTTTATTTTCTCATTAAAGGATGAGGGCAAAATTCAGTTGGCTCTTTATTTTAAGATTGTAAGTAAACGCTAGCACAATTAGGATGTGATTATATTTTCTTTCTGGTATTTAGGATGTAAAGAGAAATGTTTTAGTTCTTTTGGGCTAGAGGCATAATAAAGTGAAGATATGGGAATATGTATTCATCTCACTGTAAAGGGAATTTCACTAATTATTTCCTGTATATCAATGTAAGAGTAGGTGTTAAGTTACTATACCAACACAAACATTTTAGTAGTACTAGCACTGATCAAAAATGACATGTTAAGTAATACCCAGTCTGCACTAAAAATACAAATCAATTTGATAACAGATTAATAACAGAACTGTTTCTTTCAGATTGGTATAATTGTAACTAAAAGTAAAAGAGCTGAAAAGCTGACAGAACTTTCAGGTAGGTTATTTCATTTTTATTGGATAACTCTTGCCATTATTCCGACACTAAAGCACTAATTTTGCAAGTAGTGTGGTGTTTGTTTTTTTTAAGTCAGTAGAAATTTACAGGGGCCTTTGTGTCCATTTCAGTGAATCCAGCTGAAATTTGGGGTTCATTCACAGAGGTCTATCTTATTTAGTATTGAAAATAACATGCAACTTGGAGTGAGAGTCTTCTGCATGGAGGCTTTAATGTTTAAAACAAATGTTCTATTTCTGCCTCATTGGTCTTTTGGAATCTCAAATGAGAAACCTATATCTTATTGTACATACACTGGTTAATTTCAGTCTTTCCCTGTTTCTTTTTTAATTTTGTAATTAGTGGAGGCCGTGGGGTCTAGTGCAAGGATCAGCAACCTACAGCCCATGCAGCCATTGGATTGTCCTGGAACTGGGGGACTTCAGTGTCATTTAGTGGTGGGGTCTTTGCTTGCAACTGGATCATTCCACTGTTAGAAAATTGTTGCTGATACCTGCTGTCTTGGATTGGACATGAGACAGAAACAGGGTCTTTTAAGTTCTAATGTTAGTTTTATTACTAGCCAACTATGTGGCTTGGGGCAAGTCATTTTAGCTTTCCATATCTATCTGGCCAGCTAAGATAACTGCTACCTCAGTGAACATAGAGTTAACTACCATTTGTATAGTGCTTTGAGCATGTAAAGAGCAATGTGTGTTAAATGCTGCTATTTCGACAATTTTGAAACCATTCATACTAGGGTTTTTTTCAGATTACATGTTTAATAGACTACCAGTATAAATATTGAGAAGGCATCTTAAAGATTGCCTTGTCTGTTGTCTTACCTTTTTCAGATGATTTATTTTGTTTCCTTGCAGGTAACCCAAGAAAACATATAACTGCTTTGAAGAAGGCTGTAGATATGACTTGCCATGGAGAGCCATCTCTGTATAACTCCTTAAATTTGGCCATGCAAACTTTAAAGTTAGTATGTGTAGGTTATTGTAGGTTTTATTCTCTTTGAACAGTATAAATTAATGGTGCTCAACCTTTTGGTCCTGGGGAGCAGATGACTGGCACAGGGCTAGTCTACAGACTAGATTGGGTCCCTTGCACTGGGATTGGGCTTTGTGCTGCCTCTGCCCAGTCTCCGTGCCTGGATTGGGCCCTGTGTGGCTTGGGTTGGTCCCTGCATGCCAGAGTCAGGTCCCATGTGTTGGGATTGGACCTGGGGCCCCACACTGCTGCTGTCCAGCCCCTCATGCTGGGATCAGGCCCTGTGTTCCAAATCTAGTATATAAGGTCATGGTATCTGGCCCATGGGGCTTGCTGTGGGTCTGGAAATTTGGAAGCAGAGGAGTGGTGCCACTGCTTTTCTGGCATCAGTTTTTCAGAACTGTGTGGAGGCCTATAGGCCAGATGACATGGTGCCTAGGACGAGGTGTGGCTCATAGGCCAGGGCTTGAATGCATCTGGTATAAACTCATAAAACACTTGTTTTAAGCAGTGTTTGTTTGGCACAGCTTACTCGGTCAGAGTCTCAGTTTATGCAGAGCGTACAGTTTGTACAGTGCGGTGCTAATTTGAAGGCTGTACTGCAATACAAACAAGTCACTTTGCTGTTTAACATAACTGCCACTTGAAATAAAAGAGTACTTAATATTTCCAGACAAAAATGGGTACTGGAGTTCAGGTTGATATAATTTAATTTAGAAAAAAAATTAAAGCATTGTTTATCATTAAGAAGTGGTGAATTTTTGATGTATTGCTCTAAGATATTGTCTATGATAGTACTTTATTAGAAGATGCTTAAAACTGAACTAGCTTGTATTTATTAAATCTTTTTCAGTGCAGTTTTCTGTTTCAATAAATGTATTAATAAACAGTTGGCACTAAAGCTAGCACATTGAATATTACATGTAACATTTCATTCTCTGCTCCTCAAGATGTGGTCAGGACCAAAGCTGTTATACAGTGGCCTGCAATAGTTAGATCTTGAACTATTTACTCTATATTCACTAAAGCAAAGAACATCTCTAGATTTGTTTTCATAGTAGCCAGATCAGATTCTTAAATTTTAGCAGACTCTTCAGTATGTGCTTCAATAAAGTATAATAAATGGGTTACTTATTTTTTGAACTTGGCTATGTGGACAGGATAAATGTGACCTAAGTTACAGTAACAAAATGGGTATTTGATAGGTTGTTTTCCATTATTATTACATTAACAATAATGTTTAAAGACCCCACTCAGAATTGGAACCCCCTTTGTCTTGTAAATGAAGCTGAAGATGGCATAGACCCCATCCCTAATGAGATTTATTAAAACACCCCAACATCAAATTTTGTATAAGTGACAATATTTTTAGTCTGTATAGCTAAGTTAAGTATACACTTTCTTATTTTTATAGGCATATGCCAGGACATACAAGCAGAGAGGTTTTGATAATCTTCAGTAGCCTGACCACATGTGATCCATCTAATATCTATGAGCTAATCAAGGTATAGAAAGGAATTGTTAGTACTGCATGGGAGGGATTGGAGGAGGCACAGATGAGGAGGGAACTATAGAAGTCCAAGAAAACAGTTGTTGCATGTCACTTTGTCAGTAAACTTCCAGTTAGAACTTTTAATCTTTTACAATATTCAGTTCTGCTAATTAATTTTTGTGTGCTTTGCTCTTCAATTTGAAAGTGTTTAAAGGAAGTTAAAATCAGAGTATCCATCATAGGCCTATCTGCTGAAGTTCGAGTTTGCACTGTGCTTGCCCGAGAAACTGGTGGTAAGTATGTAGATCTATTTATATGCTAATGTCACGTTGGATGGAAATTAAATTTTCATATTTAACTTAGTAAATTCTGAGATTTAAGTAGGGTGTATTTCTTTTTTACTATATTGTTATACTAGGAGAATATTTCATGATTATTGATCCTTCATTTTAAAGATGTGTGAGCTCATTAAATTAGTTTTATAATTGCTGGTTTGAAAAGATGATATAGGATAATTAAACCTTAAAAAGGTTGTGTTGTGCATGTTTACATTATTTGAATAAGTATTATGTTTATATAATAGTTACTTGCTTAATTAAATAGTCAGCTGAGAGTCGTATATTTTCTTTCTTCATCATAGGAACATACCATGTGATTTTAGATGAAAGCCATTATAAGGAACTGCTGATCCACCATGTTACTCCTCCTCCAGCCAGTTCAAGTTCAGAATGCTCCCTTATTCGAATGGGTAGAATCTTGTTTTATTAAGTTCAATCTGTGTAATTTCCATTCTTGTGTCCCCTGTACAAAACCCACACAATCAGAGAAGCTGGTAGGAGCATAATAATAAATAACATGTCATTATTTTTATTTTAACTTCTGTTTTAACTGAATGGTTCTGATGTATTTAATGTTGCACTCACAAAGAGTTTGGCTATTAAAATTGGGGGTGAAAATGAGACAAATTGCTCAGTTTTCAGGGGAAGGAATTAGCTTACTCAATATTCTTTGAGCAATAGTGAATACATGTAATATTTTAAAAACAAAACTGTAAGTACTATGGCTTTCTTGTCTTTCTATATCACACTGTATGGCTGTCTTAGAATATCTTGCTCAAAACCCTGAGCCATTTAAATTCATGCTAGTATTGATATGGGGTTCTGTATATATTAATAGAAGGCTTGTCAGCTTGTTCCTTTCTAACAAATGGAACAAGAGCTTTTGCCTCCATCTGGTGGAACAATAATTCTGAATGAGTAAGAGCCAGAAGTTAACCCTAAGTAGCAGTAGTGGTCTGCTACTCTGTCACTGGGAGAATTTGTCCATATCTTGATAACAAGTCCCTCTCCAATCACAGAAGTAAATATTAAATTTACATTCATAAAAAATAGATCTTTGGCATGAACATCCTTATAATTTAAGTTCTGATTTAACCGTAGTCTCATTTATACTCTGCTTTTTCTTTTTTTCCTCCTGTATCATGCCATTTTCTCTGTAGTTGTTCTCCAGAAATTGGGAGTTCTATCAGTTTCACTATCCTGGTAAAAAATAAACAGAAAAGACTGTTTTGGTAGGGAAACTGTGAAGTGTGACTGATTTAAAAACAAATTCTGAGAAATTGGAAAGCCTTCTACAGGCAGTCCTCAGACTTATGACACAATTGGTTCCTGAAAACTGCGTTAAGTCGAAATGTTGTAACTCGGAACCAATTTTCTCATAAGAAACAATGTTATAAATGGGGGATTGGTTCCTGAACCAAGGCCCGATACCCTGTTTTCACCAAAGATACCCCAGAATCTTGTACTAGATCAATTATAGATGAGTAATATAGCTACATTAATGTATTTATCTTGTAAATAGCAATCATATTGATTTGGAAGGACTTCTTTGAGGTGACTTTGCGGAATTTTTTGAAAGGATCTTGGTTGGACTTTTTGAAGGGTTCTTGGCTGGAGTCATCTCAGGAGCCTTGGATGCAGGTTTTTCTTGAGTCTTGCCTGCTTTCTTAAAGCAAGGCAGTTTGGATAGATGTTCTCCAGGGAGATGAGTGACGTAGTGAACTTGTTTGCTGACATGGCGATGCGTTGGATCAAGCATTGTAAAGTCGAAACTGACATAAAGTTGAAACAGGGTGTCAATTTATAAACGTTGTAAGTGCGAAATGTTGTTACTCAAAACATTTTAAGTCAAGGACTGCCTGTATACTTAAAAGTGATAATGTAGGACATAAAGTGATGGAATATTGTTATCTTTTTTTAAGGTTTTCCTCAGCATACAATAGCATCTCTCTCTGACCAGGATGCAAAACCATCTTTTAGCATGGTGTAAGTATGGTTAGTTTGTGACATTTGAATATTTGGTGTATCTAGACATAATTACAAAATGCACATTTTAGTGAAAATACAGCAAGATATGAAAATGAATGTGCAGCTGGTTGTATTGTGAGTTTTACATATAAGGTCTGTGCGAATAAGGAAGTACTGTATTTGGATTAGGCTGATTCGGAAGACAGTGATTCCATTTGGATTACTGTCCTGCATTGATTTGGTCAAATCAGCTTTGGAAGATTCAGCGCTGATTTGGAGAGATTCAGTGATTCAGATCGGCTGGGGAGAGGCAGGCACAGCTGGGTAGCTGCAGGTTCTCCCACAGCTCCTCTGGTTGTGCCTGCCTCTCCCCAGGCGGGGGGAGCCATGGAAGAAGCCTCCATGGTTGCCTTGCCTGGCCCCAGCCTCCTGGCAAT